GGTGGAAAACACCTCAGCTATTGTGCCGCAATACAAAATAAAAGAAAAGGAAAACAGTGACAAACAATGGCAAGCCCGCTGAGTCCCCAGTAACGGATGGACATCGTTCCGGAGAGCTAACAGCTGGCTGTCGTAAAAAGAGAATCATATTATGCCTAACAGGTGAGATCGTGATTGGAGGGGGATACTAAACAGGAGGGGGAATGACAAAGGAAATCACAACACAAACGCCATTGGTGCCGGCTCCGAGCCATATCAGCAAGTGTGTCCAACCAAACGTGTTCACCGTCCTTAGGACCCCAGCCAGGCAGTCGGGATGCACCAACCGACGCCAACTTCGAAGTGAGGGTTTTCATTCCTCTCGACCAAGTCATCACTTGGCCTCCCCTCCTCTTCTTCCAACCGCACCTGCAATGCGCAAACAATGCACGTCGCGGGAGTCGGTGTGCTGGCATGCGCAACACGTGGCCCAGCCATCGGAGCCTGGTGCGTGATATAATGGTGCTGAGCGGTTCACTCGCTCTTCCTGCACCAAATACGCGACGTCGAACACGATCATTGCTCACGCGGTGTACCCACCAGACATGAGCTAAGCTGCGAAGGCAGCGATGATCGAATGTGACTAGCCTCTTTAAGTCTGTCGACCTGATGGGCCAGGTTTCACAACCATATAAGAGAGTAGAATGGACGGCTGCGTTGTAAACTCTGCCTTTCAGGGCGAGAGTAATGTCGCGTCTGCGCCACAGGTGGCGGAGATTGGCAAAAGCACCTCGAGCTTTTGCTATGCGGTTCGTAACCTCATCTTCAATCCCACGGGTGCTAATATAGCTGCCCAGGTACTTGAATTCCTGAACGACTTCTAGCAGATCACCACCAAGCGTTAGCGCAGGGTTGGGTCCCTGCCAATCTTGGAGAAGTACTTTGCATTTCGATGGAGCAAAGCATAGCCCAAAACGACTGACAGCCAGTGCTAATCGGTCCAGTGCTCTTTAGCATGTTTGGAGGCTGTCACAGATTAGGGCAATATCGTCCGCATACTCCAAGTCAAGAAGTCGCTCACCAGGAAGTAGCTCCACACCATCTAGGTCGTGTCCAGCGAACGCTGTTTCTATGACTTCATCAATAGCGAAATTGAAGAGGAAAGGTGACAGCGGGCATCCTTGTCTCACACCGCTGGTGATACTGAAGGGTGGCGAGAGTTTGCCATAAACCCTCACCCTGCCCGAACTATGCGCGTACAGCGCTTTGATAATGTTTACATATTTATCAGGCACACCTTTCCTCAGCAGACAGTCCCAAAGGGCACATCGATCGACCGAATCGAAGACACCTTTTATGTCAAGAAACACGACAACGGTGGGTCGCCAATAAACATGGCGGTGCTCCAACACTTGACGCAATGTGAAGATGTGGTCGATGCAGCCCCGACCTCGACGAAATCCGGCTTGCCCTTCACGAATCTGGCTTTCACGAGTGCCAGTCAGTCTGTGGAGAATGACAGAGGCAAGCAATTTAGAGGCAATCGAAATCAGACTGATCCCTCTATGATTGCCGCATTCCAAACGAGAGCCTCCCTTGAAAATTGGGACAATGACGGAGCGGTTCCAGTCTGTCGGGACTGTCTCCTGCTCCCAAAGTCTTACTAGCAACTCGTGTAGATCATCTATTAGAGCAGGTCCCCCGAATTTGAAGAGGGCTGGGGGAATTCTATCTGCTCCTGAGGCTTTATGCAATTTCAATAGCCGGATCTCATGTTCGACCTCTGCGCGTGAGGGCGGATCCGAGGAGACGGCCCAAGGAGAAGGGCGCTCAATGCCCGAAGAAGAAAGCGATAACGCAGGTTTGTTAAATTGCCTTGCAAAGTGTTCGGCCCAACGCTCCAAGCGTTTTGACAAGCTGTGGATCGGCTGCCCACCCTCGTCGCGTATGGTCTCGCTAACACCAGGTCTCCTGCTGCCTGTTTACCGTATCAGACGGAATAACTTACGATGATTACCCACGGCAGCGGCTGTTTCCATCTCAGAGGCACGATGAGACCACCAGGTTTCGCGGTCCTTCCTAAGGCTAGCACTTAGTTTTGCCCTGAGAACGGCCGTGTGATGCGCCGCCATGTTGACTATGTCCGGCCAAGCTCAACGGAACCGCATGAGCTGGATCAACTGTTGCTGACGCAAAAGCGGATGGGCAATCAGCTTCACGAAACAAAGAAACGAAAACGGATGTGGAATAAGCTAAATT